TGCTGTGTTGTAGGCACCTTCCCAAGAGATCATGTTGAATGATGTAGCCACACACAGAGTTTAGTGATGGAGAGATTGTAAGAGAGTTGAGCTCCAGGCTTCATTCTCCATTGCTTTTGGGATTGCAGCAATGCATTCTCTAAATATAGTTGCTTTTAATATGTGTGAATGGCTTGGGCAATCACAGTGTTGACAACTGGTTCCATTTCTCCGTAAAAGCAATTCCAGCCGGTGTCTGGAGAGCAGAGCTGTGTCATGAAACATGGACACTATAGATGGATGCCCTGGATGCCCTGTGTGCAGCTATACTGAGAAACCATGTGGGTTTCTCAGTAGCCTGAACAGAGGATCACAGGGAATGCCTCCATTGACTTGACTTGTGCCTTCACAAACTGAGCCTGAAGCTCATAATATTCATGTTTAGACTCATAGCCGAAAGGTATTCAAAGCTCTTGTCCAGAAGGTATACCTTGTATCTCAATCTACACCTAAACTGTTGGAGCTTCACTTTGTAAATACTGCTGTCCCTTACTTTAAAATCTATCTTGACAAGCCATGTGGTGAGTTTTCACCTGAGAAAATATTTCATAAAGCAAGGGTCAAAACAGAAAGGTCATATTTTATATACTTGTGAAACAAACACGACATAATACTGAAACATGTAGAAGACGCACAAAATCCAACTATTTCAAATGACTCACAAAACTGAGCCCTTGTAGTACAGTCCAACATTCACCCTGGGAAATGACTAACGTCACAACCATCTTGGCCAAAACCTGAATATATTCCACATGTTATCAACCCCTAGCAGGGCCGCCCCTGGCCAACTTGAGGCCCCAAGCGACATTGTGAGATAAGGCCCCCCCCCCCAACCGACAGGAGTGAACAACATTCTTTTGGAAACAAAGTAGGCTACTTTGCAAATATAATTCCTGTTTATTATTATTATCAACACAGTTACTTTTTTATACAGTGAGGTAAATGGTAAATATGCATGTATGTCGTTCAGTATGCGTTTACAGGTGAATACGTCTGCATTTCCTGCCAAAAAAGATTAAAATATAATTAATGTAAATAAACTACTTCTACTAATAATAGTAATCATAATCAATTCAATAATATAAATACTATATTATTTTATTATAATATAGTTGTAATATAGTCAAGACAAAACATGCTTATGACATGCTCAAAAACTGATATTTCTTACATCTGTGTTCAAATGTAGTTCCCTCTGTCAGCAATGTATCAACAACCACACACACATTTCTATCAGTGTTTCTCTGTGTTGTGGTTGACATGATGATGACTGTCAGGAGTTAAGGGGAGAGGCTGAGCATCACCATGAAATGTGCAAATTGACATAAAAATGAAAAGGGGAAAAAATGCTCCATGTTTTTTAGGCTGTAAACTTTAACTGTTATGTAAGCCAACTAGACAGACAGTGTATCACTCTTCCTCCTGTACATTAACAGATAAAAGGCATAACATACTTGAATGAATGGTAAATAAAGAATGCTGGAAATAACAGCATCTCCATTAGCCTGTATGCTCTGCAGAGACTGCCTTCTTCATGTCGTGAGTTGCAGCTGATGTTTTAATATGGCAATTTGCTTATACAACATTCACAAGTTGTACATTTGACTCATACAATAGCCCACCTTCGAGTGATGCTCTAGTTTCTTCATGTTTTGTGTTTTTCCCCTCTTGCTTGCGCCGGACTGAAACTGTCTTTTCACCGACATCTCTTCACCTGCACTTGTGGCCGTATCAGAGCCGTGATTGGTCAGATGTCGATTCATTGCAACGGTGTCGGGTTACAGACATGCTCCCCTTGTCACCTCTCACTCTCGCGTGTCAGCGGGGGGTGCGCGGAGAACTGCGCACAGCAGCTGAGGCGCTCTGGGCGGGGCCCCCTGCGCATGGCGGGGCCCCATGCAGCCTGCGTGATTGGCCTGTAGGGAGGGGCGACCCTGACCCCTAGTTTTGGGGGGTTTAGTTCACAGTTGGCTAAATGTTTTATTGCTATAACAGATTTCTGATTGTGCGTCACGGCCCAAACTCTACCAATGATGTTGCGATGGGCTGCTGTTAAGTTTGACATTTGGTGTTCGCCTACGCGGTACTTTGAAATTCTCATGAGACAGTATAATGCTATGGTTTCTCATGACAATGTTACGTCATTTCTGTCCGCTTTACATGATTTGCTTCTTCTAAAAAAGTTTTAAACTAATATTACAGCGGTATTAATGTCTGATTCTTGTTTTATATTTAAAACATGAATATATATAAATAATTCAGCAGCTTTGGAGGATTACAGTCGGACACTCTGGTTTCATTCCGACTCTGTATTTTCAACCCTGGCAAAGACTGTTGTATCAACAGTATCTCTTCATTGTCAAAATGTTAGTTTGGGCTGCTTTCAGTATCAATTTATATAAGGTCGGCTGATATGTTCTGACACTTATGAGTGCAGTAAAATATTCAAAGTGATTTCACGGGTGGAGCAGTGAAAGATGGGGCACGACAGCTAAGGTCAATTACTTTGTTTTGAGCAAAACATCTCTGGTGGTCAACAGCAGCAGCAGATTCTACTTAAGCTGCCAACTCACAACATAGGCTTTGATAGATAGCGTGGGATTGAACAATCATTATGTCCCCTATTCTTTCTTTTTTTTCTAACTGAAAAAGGTCAGGATAATAACTCGAGCTCTCAGATGTGAGAATGGTCCGGGTGAGTCATAACATCAAAATGATGTGCCACCAGAATGAGAAGCACAAAACTGCAGCGTTCTGTTGATCTTCATTTAAAGAATGCATGATTTCAGAGAGAGAGAAAAAAACATGAAGGCCCTCAGTGCCATGTCTGGGATGTGATTTACTCTAATTGCCCCTGGTGCCATGTGTGGGCAGAGTTTAAAAATGGCCTGTGTCCATTTCATACAAATCCCATACAGCGCCCTTCATTCAAAGAAATGCCTCACATAATACATTCCCTTGAAATCTAAACCAGCTTAAGAATCCCTTGTTTTTAAAGCAACATTATTGTGGCATAAGTCACTTTTTGGAAATATTTGGCTCTTTCCTGGTTTTGCTGATTCAATAAAGGGGAGAAAGTGTGGAAAGACAAAAGCAGACATACCTTACTGACACTATATACTAGGGTGTAACCGGGTCTGCTGACAGCTAAATATTAGCTAACATACCAAGAATGCCATACTCTAGGAAAACAGCACTATAAGTTATATCTCTATAAATCAACATATTTGGGGTCAAATCTGAAAGAAAATGCTTTGGCAACATTGCACTAAACCTGCTTGACAAAGAAAAAAGAGAAAACAAAAAGGTTGTCCAATACACAAGATACAATATTCTGCTATGGCTATATGTGTAGCATTTGGTCTATATGACACATGACAATGGTTGGTAATGGACAGCAGATGTCAGCAGTGGGTCACTAAACACTGTGGTCATCTGATAAACTGGCACTGCTTAGTCCATATCTGATGATGTCACAGAACTCAAGCAAAAATCATTGATCATTGTCATGACTAATCCAATTATCAGTGCTAGGGTTCATTTTGTTTAAGAGTTAATGCAATTAATTTTATCAAACATCTGTTAATGTTGAGTTGCGTTGTGTTATATACTATATATGTGAGTCATAAATAACGTTTTATCATAGCTCAAAGGGGACTTATTATCCAGATGAGTACCACAGATTGAATAAAAGATCCAGGCGGATAATTGAATCCAGATCTGGTATCACGTGTGGAACCAAACAAACACCCTGTGAGCAGTGAGCACACTATTCCAACTTCCTGACTCTTTGTCCGTGGCTCACACCCACAAAAGACAACGCCCATGTGAAGTCCTTACACACACCCTATGATGGCTTCAAATGTTTGTCAAAAATAACACGTGAAATATTGTGAAATCAGAAATCATGCCCAATCCAGAGTCACATGAATGTGCTTCATCAGTTTCACTTCAGCAGTAATACACCACAGCTTCAAAGTCAAACTGGTATTTTTCCGCTTTTTCCAAATCCAGCAAAAGAGGCCAACATATGGTAGTGTTATCACGTTGCACACTCCCACATCTTTACCACATACCATTACATAAAGGTATGCAAGGGGGCATGCTTATTTCAAGACATGCTGAAAAGAGAACTGAGAAAACAGATCCAATAACAGTCTTACTGGAGCAAAGAGGAGAAATGCTCCCAAAAGCACCACACCTCCCCTGTGGGGAACAGGCAAGGCTGGATCTCAGCAAAGAGCCCCACCTTGTTGGAATGACTGAATGTCTGCATAATCTCATCTGGCAAACAATCAGATAGCCCCAGAGATTACATGTTCTCACTGACACATGTGCATATTTCAATGTATCACCAAACAATGGAATTCCCCATCCAAAGAAAGCGTGATTGTTGGGTTTGTTTGATAAAATCATCATTGCCACATGCATGTAAACAGTGTGGTTAATCAAAGGTGTAAAGTGTAAATGTAGCATAGTGTTATCATTCAAGTACTACTTTATTGTATTTTGTCTTGAATACAATACAGGGTGTACTGTGTACTGTGTTACTGACACTAATCTATTTTAACGCAGGGATAATTAAATCAGCCTCATCTCAACTGACTCTCACCAGCTCACTGAAACTATTCCTAAAGAGAGACTGTCTCTCGTCCAGATCACAAGGAGAGGCTGGGCTATATAATATGTCACTTTAAGCCACAAACTGTAATCAAATCACCCTAAATAATACTTTGAAAGAGAAGCCAGAGACAGACAATTGCAGTATGGGAGTGTTCTTCTTAGTAAGGATTACTTTAAGTGCATGACAATGTGGAGGTTCATCAAAAGAAAAACCCTACCCAGTACCTCCCATGCTTCAAAAAGAAAGAAAGGTGGGTACCTAAATCCAGCTGCAATTACATCACATGCACAACGATAGTAGATAGGAAGAAGGTTAATTGGCAGAGATTCAAACAAACCTTCAATGAATTGAGGCCATGTCTTCTCCTCTGGCTCGTCCAACGCGTGGTCCCATTCTTCATCAGATGAGGCTCCCGGTGACCCTGCCAAAAGTGACCGCTTGATGGCGATTGCTTCCAGAACATCCAGGTCCAGTTCCTCCCCTCCCTCCACAGGTTGTTCAGTTGGAGGTGGTGATTGATGCCCGCTTGCCTCAGGACTAACAACATGTTTCACCTCGACTATCTCCTCAACTACTACAATTTTCCTCTTCATGTCGGCCTCTTCTGTTTCGGGATTTTCAGACTCGCAGGTGTCCCCCAGGTGAAGCTGGTCAGTTTGGGCAGAGGCGGATGTGGCAATGGCAGAGGGTGTGTCCTTCTTCGAGTCACTCTTCTTCTCTTCCTCCTGCTTTAAGGCCTGAGAAGCAGAGAGCCTTTTCTCTGTGCAGCGCTCTGCTGCCTTACTGGCTGAATGTTGTGAAACTATGGGAGGCTCCTCTTGCTTGTGGAGGGGGCTGGTCTGTGTCGGAGCTACAGCTGCCTGTGCTGTTACTGCTGGTGCTGCTGACGCTAATTCTCCGGCTGCGGGTGCTTCCCTCGCAGTGGAGGATGTTTTTGGTTTCGGAACCTCCCGCTTGACTTTTTCTGCAAAGAGCGGGGCTGGCTCCACCTCCTCTTTGTCTGCCGGGGCCTCACACAGCACAGCTGCTGTCCGCCTGGTTTCCTCACTGCACATTCTTTCAGGAGCCATCTTTGGAGAAACATTCAGTTCTGTCAGTTCGGAGGTCGTGACACGGCTGACTTTAACTGTGGCCTTGGGCAATGATGTATTGTCAGTGGACAGCAAAGGTTCTGCTTCAGGCAAAGAGGCCTGTTTTGTGTTTGAGGTGTCTGATAATGTCGCCTGAGCCTGCTTTTTCCCTCTCCCTTTCTTCTTTCCCTTTGAAGACTCCTCTGCAGCTTTTTCTTTGGCAATTAGGGATTTAGTCTCAACTGTGAGTTTTTGAGATTCTGGTGCAGAGTTATGACTTGCTTGTATAAGCTCTATTTGGGGGTTTTTCTGCACAGACACCGTTTCTACTTTAGTGACAGTTATTTCCTCCGTTTTCACTGGCTCCATATGAGGCAAGTTGGTATTTGCCTTGTCCTTGGAGTATAATGATTCATGTGTTATTTTGCTGACACTGCTTTTCTCCACCTTCTCTTTCTGTTGTGCATCGACTGAAAGCTCCACTGGGGGCACTGCTGGGACCCTATCTACTGGCAGTAATGCTGCTTCAGTTTGTTTAGGGACTTCCATTAGTGGCTTCTCATTAAGTTGTTTAGGGACTTCCTTTATTTCCCCCCCATTAACATCTATTTTAGCCTGAGTATTATTTCCCCCTATAGGTCCCTCAGTCTTGATGCTGGTACACACGGTCAGTGTCTCTGAGGTCATCACTGTTTCGGGTTTAAGGGTATTTTTAGCGACCCCCTCAGGGGTTTTCTCCTTTCCCCCCTTTGAGTCAGGAAGCTCCTCAGCATCGAAACTCTTGGATTTCTCACCTGGAGATTTCTTTTTCTTTCTTTTTGATTTAGAGCTCCCTTCAACAGCCTGCTGTGTTTCTATTGCCACTTGCATGGGGGCAACATTTTGACTGAGCTGAGGTGAACAGGAGACTTTTTCTCCTAATGTGACCCCCGGTGCGGAGACTTTAAGTACTTCTTCTGCCACTAATTTTACATCTTTCTTGACCTGAGGAGTCTCTTTCACATCTGTGTGTTTCTCTTTTGTGATAATCTCAGTTACTGTAGCATTCCCCTTGAGAGGTTTTGTAGCTTGAGAGCTGGCAGTAGTTTCAAAGAGATGTGTTGTAGTAATGGTAGTTTTAACCTCATGTATTGACTTTGTCACAATAGTAGTTTGCTGGTGTGACTCATCAGTCTTGGTCACTTTAGTATCAATGGGCTCCTGTACCACTTTAACTTTAGAGATCTCCTTCACTGCATCAGTGGACAACACTGGCTCATTGGCCGTACTGTCCGGTGGGGGTTTGGTGGTCTCCTGAGTGACTGTCACTTTGGCAGTTATCTTGGCCTTCTCTTGATCTATTTTGCATTCAACTGGGGTCACTTCTGTAGGCTTGATTGGTTCCTTATCAACCTTTTCTCCCTTAGGCTTTTCTTTCTTGACATCTATATTGACAGGGGTGAGCTTAGAGGTTTCCTGAGCAGCAGACGTTGTGATAACTACCTGGGCCTTTTTGTCATCACTTGCTTTTTCAGGTGTTGCCTTGACATCTGCAGGTTTAGCTGGTTCCACAAACACATTTTTGGTCTTCTTTTCTTTGACATCTTTATTGTCAGGTTTTGTGATGAAAGGAGGAGCAGTTTCAGTGAGAAAACTGGTGGTTTTCTTAGCGTCAACCATTGTAAGAACTGCTTGGGGCTCTACTTCATCCATTGCCATTTCAACTTTGGGCTTTACCTGTGCAGATTGAATTGGTTCCACAACCACCCTTTTTGTCTTCTCCTCTTTGACCTCTGTTTCCTCAAGTGTTGTGATAGCCCAACTGCTTGTCACCATTTGACTTGTCTTCGTGGAAGCTTTTTCATCTGCAATCATCTCTTTATTTGTTTTGGGAGTAGAGGATTCAGCTGGAAGCTTTGATGTTGCAGCACCTGTAGCCACAGCGACAGCAGCCACAGATAATGGTAGGGCTGGTTTGAAGGCTGCTGATTGCACAGTGGTCTCAACATGTTTCAAAACTGCTCTTTGATTCTGGACGGACATTGGTGCCATTATCTTTTCAGGCACTTTTTTCTCCTGTGGTGTTGTTGCAACTTTCTCAATGCTCACATCAGCTTGTTGACGAGAGACTCTTTTTACCCTGCTCTCCTCCATCACTGCTTCCTCATTTCTGAAGCCGCCCCCCCTTCTATACAGAGGCTGAGGCTGGTCCTCCACTTCCCATGATGCTTTAGGACTGACTGGTTCTGCAGCCAGTGGACGACCCCTAAACCTGGGGGTCCTATCAGAGTAGGTTTCTTTTTCTCCAGGACCCATCATCCTATGGCGGTAGCCTTGACGCTCAGCATGAGACTCTTGGCTCTCTTCTTCACCCCTGCGTCCAGGCTTAGGGACATAAGATGTAGGACCTTCTACAGTTTGGACCCGTGCAGCCTGTTGAGCAAAGGTCATGGTGGCAGCCGGCTTCCTGGTCCTCTGCAGGGATGCAGGAACAATCTCAGAGGGCAGGCGGAGGTAGTCACGCAGGTAAACAATGCCCTCATTGGTCAGGTACCAGTAGAAATGTCTCCAGGCAAATGTCTCCTTCACATAGCCCCGAGACTTAAGAGACACCATGGCACGCATGACTTGTAGGTTACTAACACTTTCAATCTCGGGGTGTTTGATCTGAGGCCTCTTGTCCTTCTTGGCCACCATGACACCATCTTTAAACAGCAACTCATAGATGGCCCTCAGGTCCCTTAAGGGCATCAACATTCCAGCAACCATTGTGCTTTAGTGTCAGTATGCTCTCTCAAAGTAAAAGTGAAAAGTACAATATGAAAAGGAAGTTAAAAAAGACAATCTCACGTCTTGTGTGAAAGAATCCAGTGGCAAAACCGGCTGTCACGTGCTTCTCAATTCAATTATAAAAAAAATAGAAGTAGAAATCCTTTTTTTTCTTACTTTCTTTACCTCTTGTTCTTGCTGATCCCTTGGGTATCGTGAAGAAAAAGAGTATTCCAATGCGAAATCTGACTTAAACAAAGTCAAAAGTGTGCTGTCCCCCCCTGCATTCAGCGAGGCTGGGAATGAACAGTCTCCGTACTGCCGAGATGGCAATGACAGAATGGAAGAGAGGCAGCGTGTGTGAGAGTTGCGTGAGAGAGAAAGAGAGTGAAGCACACTTCTCAGTCGGCTCCTCCTACCTTCTCTCTGTATTTCTTAGGGAAAAAATGGCATGGAAAAAAAGTCTCACTTAAGTAAATAGTAGAGCAGGAAGTAGGACAGCAAAGAAAAAAAAAACGTATAAGATTAATCGATTAAAATAAAGAAATGAATCGAGCCACACACCTATAGAGTGTGTTTGAGCACATCTTCTGTAGCTCTGAGTCTTTCACAGAGACGCCCACCCACACACGAAAGCACATGCCTCCTATAATGTACACACACACCTACGCAAACTGCGACTGGCTGACACACACCCTTTGGCGTGACACACACACACACACACACACACACACACACACACACACACACACACAACACACACACACACACACACACACACACACACACACACACACACACACACACACACACACACACACACACACACACACACACACACACACACACACACACACACACACACACACACACACACACACACACACACACACACACACACACACACACACACACACACACACACACACACACACACACACCACACACCACCACACACACACCGGCTCAGCTAATGGGCTGTTCTAAACAGGGATTAGTTTAGCATAAGGAGAGTCAACCAGTTGGCATACAGTACATCTATCCTGCCTTAGGGATCTTTGTTATTTTATCTAGTACAAGGTATCTAGTTTTACACATTTCCTGATCAAGTATCACTGGGGGGGGGGGGGTTACTCTAGGTGTGCATTCAGATAAAATGTCAGTCTTTTGGATGGGAAAGGGTTATATTTGAAGGGAAAGTATAGAATTCATTGTTTTAAAGGACAAGAACTCTCACACATTGGTGGTTTGATATGCCAAATAAGTCGAACCGAGGCAGAGACACATACAGTTATCTTTGATTAATGTCTGTGTTTGTTGGAGGGTAACCAAGTCACCCAATGAAGGAAATTACATTGACTCATTAGTGTTTCCCATTGTAGCTCATTAAAGTGATGCAACAGGCTGTAAAGCACCCTAACGTTGTGTTGCTGCTTCAGACCGCTACCATTCGGGCTTGATTTAGCTTGCAACCAAGAGTCTGTCTTGCACAACTATATAAAGAACTGAGCATTATAGCTAACCTTTTCCTCGCTCTCAGTAACATGAGATCAGATGTCTATCCCTAGATCACTTCTGTACATCTGTCTCCAGTTTGTCTCTCTGTGTCAGTGAGTGTCCTCTCATGACCAAGTCATACTGGAAAGAAAGCTGACCATTGTTGGATACAGCAGAGTATCCCATACAATAAAAAAAAAGGATTTATTGAAAAGTAGTAGAAGCACACGGTACCGTGCTGGAACACAGTGGACTAGTTGCGAAATTATAGTGGCAATGAAATGATGCTTTCCTCCTGCTGTTTGAAACCACACAAACTATTACACATCCAAACACTGTGGGAAAACTGTTTTTATTTTATTTGCCATGGTAACAGTCAACTGGAGGGAGCCAGTTATGACTAGGGAACATATCTGCTTTCACTGCTGAAGCAGAGCAGAAGGCTATAAATCTGTTATCCTGGACAGCTGGACTACACTGCCCTTTTTCAGAAGAGTATTTGCAAAGACACTGCTATATTAAAAATAAATTTGCACATTATCAAAGTTAAATAAACAATCAAGAAAATTCCAAAAGAACCTAACAGCATACTAACATAAATGTGTGATTAAAACCACAGACAAACATTTAAAGGTGGGGTAGGTAAGTTTGAGAAACCGGCTCAAGTTACACTTTTTGTTATAATGCTCTTAACATCCCGATAGCAATGAATATCTTAAGTGCTTTGACAAAAAATCCATTAAAAAATGTCATCTGTGGAAGCCGTAGTACTGTAAAAAGCACGACCAATCATCTGAGCCGGTACGGCTAAAATAACTGGATGGCCTACCTGCCTGTCAGCCTTCCATCTGTACACAAACTTATCTCGTGCCCTCATTGGTCATGTGCGCGTTCGTGTGTGTTGGAGGAGGGGCTCTGTAAGAAAGTGGCAGATTTTTTCCGGCTGTGTATTTTAAAATTCTAGCGCACTCGAGCTGGTTTCTCCAAAATGACCTACCCCACCTTTAAAAGGAAGATGTTAAAAATAGTTGTTGGCATTTGTATTTACCAATGCTGTCATGAAAACAATTACTGCCACAAATCAGGTCTTTGACATCTCAAGTCAGACTACGAGGTGATGCCCTAGGGCCTAGGCCTAGGGCATGTCTGTACTCTACCTATAGTAGAAATGCTAGAAACCATCCCTTACTGGTTAATGATTCAGAATGAAGGCTGGGAGCGGTTCTAAGTGAAAGAGGAAATAAATCCTGATTCAGGATGATTCATTGTACAAGAAAGCCATTCCTATGTATTTCGAAAACAAATGTTTTATGTTTTATCTTTGATATGCTGCAGTTTGCCTGACAGTGATGGGAGTGGTATTGGCAACTGGTTTGAACTGGTTTGGATGTGTGAATCTGCAAGCATGGGCCTAGGGAAGTGCATGTAAGCACATTGTTCACATTCACTGTCAAATATGATACTGTACCTACAGTATGAGCGCTGCCTCTAAGGAAGTGTGGTGACATATGAATAATGGCACATGTTTTTCCTATTGATGCTTTGACACCAGATGTCCCTACGTTGATCAATAGTAGGTGTGTCTTACCTTATCTTATAAAGTCTGAGTAGAAATGAGGTTGGGGGAGATGCATGGATAAAACAAATCACAGACACTAAAAACAGTCTCTTGGGTTAAATTCCTGTGTAAAACCAAACGTTGTTGAGTTTTCCTTTTTTATATTGACTTTGTTACATGAAAAACATTGTTTGTGTAACCCAAACCAGACTCTATTCCTAAACCTTACTAGGCTGTTTTGTTGCCCAAGCATGTGAGCATTTCGTACAAACTGTTTTTGAGGAACTGTTACATTATTGAATGTGTAGTTGTCAGCTAAGAGGACATGTTAAACCAACTATCATAAACTTTTGAAAACTGAAAAAATATCAATACATTTCATTACAGCACCAATTACTGTATACACCAGTCAATAATGTGTTAAAATTACTACTTAGGAGCTATCTCATTCGAGGTAATTGGCATCGCCATGTTTGGTGCTTTGGTCTCTTGGCCCCATATCAGTGTGATTTCATGCACTGTTTATGCACAAAGTGTTCAGTGAACCACAAACTTCCCACAGTGACCCTTATTCTTGCTTCAGGCCCAGTCCCTTTTCAACCATCCAAATATGAAATATGCCCGCTTCAAGAGATATACTCTATTGCCATCGGGCTGTGAAGTGCTACAACCCATTTTCCCCTTGGGGACTAATAAACGAATACTATACTATAACCCTGCTTTTCACAGTGACTCAGTGGTTACAAAAGCTGTTCAAGGTTTGAGGAGGCATTAGAAACATACCTAATACTCAGAAATAAACTCTCAGAAGGGAGCACTTACTATAGAAGTAATGAAGTCTAATGTTCAGAAAGCTGGAAATGGAAACATGATTTGATTGATTGAAGCAGATAAAGGAGTAATATGACTTAAGGGGAGTGTATCTGAATAGTTTCCTGGTTATGAGTCCACTTCTGCTTCAGTGTTTCAGACCTCCGCAGGTCCCAGAATAGACTTGTCACCACCAGCTGATGGTGGCTGGCGACTGGCCCACTGTAAAAGGCTGCTCCGGGATCTCTTGGCCTGGCACACGTGCCCCCATTCTGATATCAGATCCAAGCCACTATACACACTTCCAGAGAAAGCAAAGGTCAGAGGAGCCTTCCTTACCCACTTATTTATCTGAACATTACAAGAAGTAAGTGTGAAGACAAATCTATGTTGAAACTACAGACATGTCAGTGTCATATTTTAAGTTTTTGCCGCAGTTCCAACAGTTGAAACGTAGTATAAATACAATATTTTCTTTGTGATGTGATTTTGAGATCTTAATCTGAAGGCAAAGAGAAAGGCTGGCCCTTAGTCTAGCCACAATCATGACTTGCACTTTTGTACCTAAGACAAATCATTCTGCAAAGCATGAGAGCCCCGACTTTATCAACAACAAGATGCTCATTTTCATTTGAGGAGATGGTTCAATTGGTGAGTGACCGCTCCGCAAGGACAGCTGTGCCCACTGACAGAGCTATGCATGTTAGATCACAAACACTTCCAACCTGGGAACATGCTAAAGTTCGAGAGTTGTAAAAAGCTTCATATGGAGGTGGGGCTGCAACCACAGTAATTATAGTTTTCCAAGTAGTCCATTTTAATAGATGAATGATTAATTAGTTAACTGGTGCAATACAAACTCATAGATTAAAATAGGAGAGAAAAGGCTTCATTGACTGAACAGGATATATGCAGGAATCCTGAAGTCAAATGTAAGACCTTTTAAGACCTTTTTTAAGACCCTTTCCATACATTTTAAGACCTCATCGACACTTTGAGTTTTAACCGGTTACATTGGCGACACATTTGACCTCACATTTACTATACACAGTATTGATTGTCCTTCCTCCTTATCTTCCAACCATTTGGACGCAGACTTGCATTTCCCCATAACGATGATGTTTAACAACCGGCGTAAACGGAGCTTTGCGCGCTATCAAGCAGTGAGCGTGCGATGTCCTGTTCAGATGATGTCCAACCCAACGGGATGCCATAAATAAACTACACAGAATCACACTACACCTACGCAATGATTACATTCAGGCTAACTGTAGAATACGACCTCTTTGGACAATTTATATACTTATTGAAAACAAGCTACAAAATGTAATACCTTGGAAAATGCCGTTTAATACTTTTAATAGCCTTAATTTTTGCTAAATTGATTGATCAACTTGTAATACTTTTTAAGACCCCGCAGACACCCTGCTGAAGGACCACTATGGAAAACCTGCATTTACATAAATAAACATGCACTGTGTGCATGTT